TAAGCCTAAGAAATATAGAAAGTCTCGGGTGGATCACCTGAAGTCAGGAGTTTGAGACCGGCCTGGCCAACATGGCAAAACCCCGTCGTGTTAAACAAAACTTAGCCGGTCGTGGTGGTGGGCGCCTGTAATCCTAGTGACTCAGGAGGTTGAGGCAGGAGAACTGCTGGAACCCAGGAGGCGGAGGTTGCAGTGAGCTGAGATCACGCCACTGCACTCCAGACTGGGCAACAAGATCAAAACTCTGTCTCAAACAAAACAAAACAAAACAAAACAAAACGTCTTACACAGAGTAAACTCTCAACAAACAGTAGCAAGTAACTATTAAGAATGTTCATCTTTGAGTAATTTAGTTAACTAGGGTGACAGGTTAATATTGATCATTAGCTTCATGTTGAACATTCCCAGAAGCTAAATCCCCTATGAAAGGCACAGGACTATAAATCAGTGGAGTTGGGGTGCTGTAATTGCCCAGCAATGTGCAAATAATTCCCCTTAAAACCTGGGCAACATTTCAGACTCATTATTAGCTATTCAGGACACTAACTCCTACTGACTGTTAGGAGCAAAAGACGACTCATTCTCATAACAAAATCTTAAAAATATATATATGGGTAAGACAATATTTTACTCTTAGATCTGAAACACGGCTCCACTGGGAGCTAGAGAAAAAGATATGTAGAATATTTGCCAGGATTAAAATCCCACATATTAGTAATGAAGAAGTTTTTAATTACTTGCATGCTTTAACCAGCTGTTAAAAATAAACATTGTGAATTACTGCCGATAAATCCCCTGTTGGTTGAAAGACACTTGCCTGGATCACTTTGCTACATGCAATTTCTTTGTAGTGAACTAGATTTGGCCTCGGTCATAATTACTTGAGTTCATTGAACTCAAGCAATTATGAACTCAACTTGAGTTCAATGAGTTCCTGGTGTGCCCAGGCTCTAACGTACAGAAGGGTGACATGGTATGAATTTGCACAGCTTAGAGATACCATGGACTGGTTGGCTCTATTTCTGGTTTGATTTTCAATAGCAAAAGGCTGTTTTGTACTAAAAGATCAGGTAACCAGGCACAACAAGATGCGTTGCCAAAGAATCCCTTTGGCTCAAGAAAAAGAGACTCTAGTTTGGCTGGAAAAGTCAGCGCTGGGATGTGGCAGGTGCTTGTCAGTGTCAACAACGAACTGGGCCCTGCATAAAGGAGTAGGCGGGGGGTCACTTGAATCCAAGGCCCTTTGGCGAGTCCCATCTCCCCCTTCATTCATTCAGCAATGATGTGCTGAGCACCTGCTATAGCAAAGCACTGCCAAGCGAAGAGCCAAGCAGAGGTCAGGAGCCTCTCAGCATCTTGCAAGGGAGCCAGTGTTTAGTATCTGGCAGCAGTGTTCACCTCCTTGTTGAAAGATAAGAAACATCTAGAGTGCAGATTACCAGCCAACACAGACTTTCTCAATCAGAAGCACCAGCGAAGAGTTTGGAGTCTGTGTACGTGTATCGAGGTAAAATAGACGTAAGGAGTTCCTGAAATCATTGGTTCCGATCATTCTCCTGTCCCCCTGCTTTTCCGGTTGTTACAGTGAAAGGGCCATTTTACATGATGTCACCCTTCTGGAGTCTGCATTTTTAATTTAGGCCTTGAATGTTCTTCTTGGCTCAGGCTGGGAGTCTCAGGTGTAAAGGAAGCAACAACTGGGGAATCAGCTGAATTCTCAGATAAGAGACCACCTGGCTGATAAGTGCATTCAACAAGCATTTGAATGCAGTCAACAAGCATTTACTGGGCAAACGAAGGGTATAGAAGTAGAAAAAACAGACATGGTTCCTCCTCTTATGGGGCGTTTATGTTCTGGGGAGCAAATCACTTCATCAAACAATTTTCATATAAAACAAGAGTTTGAACTACATTACTTAAAGGTATGTTGGGTCCAAATATACGTGATTTGAGTAAACATAATTCAAATAAACATGATTCTAGAAAAGGAAATCAATCTCATTTTGTAAGAAAAACTCCGGCAAATGTTAAATTACCCAGGGACCAGAAGACGACCCCCCTTCTTTGAAAGAAAGAGGGCACAGAGGTGAGTGGAGAGGCTGCCTTGGGAAACCACAGGGTAGGATCACCTGTACCCAGGAGTGGCCTGTGGACATGGCACACCAGGACATGCTGTGATTCCTGGAGAAAAATCGAACTTAAAGGGCCTTAAGCAGAAAAGAAAGTGAACTGAGACTCACGTGAGAGGATGACCTGGAAAGATGAGCGTCCAGCAGGCAGCGTTACAAAACCTGGGGAGTCACCAGGACCTCGTCCCTCTCCATTTCTTTGCTCTTTTTAACACACAGCTGGACCCAGCAGCCCAAATATTATCAGCGCTCGGTCCTCTCCTTCAGGTAGGAGGACCCTGAAGAGGAGCAGCACCAAGCACCTGCCCTCTGAAGCAATTCTAGCGGAAAGGGTTTCTCTTAACCTGCTCTGGGAGAAAGGCTGAAAAGACGACGCTGACTGGCCCATCGTGGCCCAATGACTGCGGCCGGAAGGCTGAAACTCTTGTGAGTGGTCAGGCCTGCATATGGAGGTCAGCCCCATGAAAGGGCTGGGAGGGACTTTTTGTCATCAAAAAGGAGCATGGGGTATCATTCTCTAAAGTGAGAGATGCTGGTGAACAGCACACAACCTGGCGTGCCATCTCTAAAGCAAGAGATGCTGGGGAAAATTTTAATAACATTGCTGGTGCTGGCTTCCAAGGCCAGCCAGCAGGGGCACCAGTGTCCCTATAATGATGTCTAATTGGGTCAGAGCTGGGGCATGGCATTCTGCAGGCAACTTCTACCCTGGCTTTGTAAGGCTGCGTGAACCGGAGATTTGGAGAGCAATACAAGGTAGAAGCAGCCCCAACAATCTACGACAAAGCAACACTTGCCTCTTTTATACACCATGCTAGGTGGTTGAGGAAAATAAAACATTTTCTTGAAAAGAATCCCTAGGCCTATTCCCTAGGCTTGAGAAACACCACAGCATAGGTAACTTGGTGCCAGAATGAGCTGTTTGACCCTCCACTAACTGTTACTGCTCATAATGTGGCACTTTCTGCCCCTGTCACCGGAAACAGCACTGAGGACATCCAACAAGTATTTCCAACAGGCTTTCCAGACCCTTTTTTTCTTTTTGCAGGTGGGAGCAGTTTGGGCATTACCTTTAGGTTCCAATACAGGGCTCCTTGTTGCTCACACATCCTTCCTCCATTGTGACCCTCCATCAACCATATGGATAACCTCCCACACACTCCTCAGAAGCCACGGGTGAGGTAGCAGTGCCGGGTGGCTTCTGCCCAGGCCTCTGCGAGCATCCCCAGGTACGCAAGTATGAGCATACTTTTATTGTGTTAGGCAGGGCAGAGTGATTCAATCTAAGGTTGAGGCAAGGTAAGGGCAGCTGGGAACCCTGGAACTAATGAAATTTCTTAACTGCTGCGTCTCCTGACCATAGAAGGGAAGGGGAGCTCCCTTTCAGGAAACAGACTAAGTCTTTTAAAGTGGTGAGTTTTCAGCTGAGATGTGGAGGGAGCACAAATCACTTGGCCCACATTCCTCCCCCATTCCCTGACCATCTTATAGCATTAATACTCCACCAGATCATATAGGCAATGACTTCCCTTACTTACTAGACCTCATCTAATCTTGACTTAGTTACCACAATTCTAGTGTAGGTTGGCTATTTTCCCCACTCTCCAAAAGATTAGAAACAGTGAGTTATCTGTGTGCTAGAAAAGAGTGTTCATCCATAGCAGATGGGAAAACAGCATTCATTGGACAAATACTCATTGAACTCCTGCACTGTGCCAGGCATTAGTAGAGCAGTAAGCAAGACAAAGTTCTCACCCTCATAGAGCTAACAGGCATTAATCAAATAATTGTACAAATGTTTACAGTTATGAGCAATGCTGTAAAAGAAAGGCAGGAAGCTATCAGAGCTTGTAGCATCATTTGTAGCAGGAGGACCAATCCTAAATTGCTGGGATCAGGGAAGGCCTCTAGAAGACTTAACAAGAGACACGAAATAAACATCATTCAGGCCAAAAGGAGGAGCAGGGATCCTGAGAAGCTTGGAGCCCAGGAACCTACAAAAGGTCAGTGTAATTGGGGCAGAGAATGCAGAATAATATGAGATGAAGGTAGAGAGATAGGCAAGGGGCCAGTTCAGACAAGGCCTCTTGGTCATGTTAAAGATTCTCAACCTAACCAGAGTTTTCAGCAGAAAGATTTGCACCTTTATAGGCTTTCTCGGCTAGACATGTGGAGAATGGACTGAAGGTGGGTGTGGATATGGGTGGAAGAGCAAATGGGCTACTATTGAATCTATGGGAGGGAAGGTACACCTATACCTTGGGCCGTTTTAGGGCATGATTACAAGTAAAAATCAAGTGGTTTAAACATGGGTTAGGTATGTCAAGTTTAGGAGAGGCAGGGGTCAGGGATGATCCCAGATCTCTGGGATGGGAAATCCCATGAGTAGTGGAGATATTTACTAAGGAAGGGAGCCCTATAAGAATTTGGGGTGGGAGAGGGTGAATTCTACTTTGGCTACACTGGCTGACAGGTGCATGTGGGACATCCACGTGGAGTTGCAGAAGTACTAGATATGAGTCTGGAGCCCAAGAATGGTCTGAAACTGTGCCTCTAGTAGTACATATTTGGGTTAGAGATGGAAATGGAGGCCATGGGCTTAGGTGAGCTCACCTAGGGAGAAAGTATGGTATTAGAACAGGGCTGAGGAATGAGCACTGAGAAAATCTACCATTTCAAGCTGCAGTGGGAGACAGTAACAGAATTGGGGAGATACGGAAGCAGGAAAGTGGCAGCCAGATTCCACGTTGGCCTCCAATGACACCACCTCCTGGTATTCATGTCCTTGTGTAGTCTCCTCCCACACTGAATATGGCTAACCTGTGTAAATACATGAGATTGTGGAAATGACAATGCACGGCTGTGGCTTGAGTATAATATCTTTTTAAGATCTCAGGAAGGCCTGATGTGGCACCCCAGAGAGCTGTTCAGACAATAAGGCTTCTAAGAAGCACAGCGTATTGTCCCTTGGCAGTCTGAGCAGAAGCTCACGGTGGAGGACTTACCTCAGAGATTTGTGGGTGTGGCTTTTGTGAGTGAACTGCAATAAAACTCAGGTGACACATTCAAAATAATGTTCCTAGCACCACTGCCAGCTTGAATGGAAAGGAATATAGTGCAAAATGTTAACACAGCTGTTTGGCCCCTAAAATCCTTCTGGCAGGAAGCAGGCAGAGAAAGCTATGTAGCTGGAAATGTGGGCAACCTTTCATGGAAAAGGAAGGATGACTCATATGAGGCCAAGAGCCCAGCCTCCAAGATTGCCTTTGACCATCTCCATCTTCTGGTATAATACGGAAATACCTTTGTGTATTTCCTTCCCCTACCGGATAGGATTGACTTGCATAACCAATATACTGTGGAATGACACTGTGACATTTGAGGCCAAGTCATAAAGGACAATGCAGCTTCCACCCTGCTGTCTTGGATGACCTGCTCTGGGGAAACCACTTGTCACTTGATGAGGATATTCAAGCAGTTCTGGAACAATACACGGCAGGTGCTCATATGCGTTAACCTCAGGCTAATGCAAAAGCTTCTTTATGATAGAAAAGACTCCAAACACATTTTCCTAAAAACAACCACTACCATCACCTCATATTGATGTTGCAATTTATATTAAAAGTACTTTCACCACATCTTGCTTTATGCTCCCAATGAACCCTATGAGGTGGGTGGGTTTATAGAAAGGGCAAATGCAGTCAGTCCCAGGTCCCAAGTGAGGAAGCTAAGTTCTAAAGGGCTTCTGTTCCTTGGTTAAGGCCACACATGGTATTCATGGTGTCGGTGTTCTGACATCAAGTTCAGAGCTTTTCTGACAACATCCAGGCAGCATTCAACAGGGATTTCTCATCTATTTGTAGATACTCTCAGAGTAACTCTAGCAGAACTTTCCACAGTAATGTGTCCCCCCTGTAATGTTCTCATGTTATCCTTTCTGTAGCTGGAGCCATGGACAGACATGGACTCTGTCTTCTTTCCACTTGGATTCCTATGCAACAGTGTAACTGGATCATTGGTAACAGTTCGTGGGTGGCCAGACAGTGCTGCCACTGTTCAACATTCCTCACTGGAAGCTGTCTTCAGAGAGCCAAACTTCTTCCCAGTAAGAAAACCAGTCTATGAGTTTAGAGCTATGCTTCATTTTTTAAACTAAAAATGGCATTAGCTTGATTGACTCCCTTAATCATCAGATTTTTAGTTGCTTCCTTTTCACCTTCTTGGAGGCCAAAACTTTAGAGTATATCCAAATACACTTGTTGCAGGCTCTGAGGGCACACCCAGACATTCCAGAAAGTCCAGTAGCAACAGCCCTCTAAAGAGAACACTGAGGAAGAAAGCCCTCATAAGGAATGTACCATGAAAATTCTGATAAAAAGAATGGCTATGTGTGTTAAGGAGCACTTTGTATGCTTTAATTTAATCCTCAAAAGAATCCTATGAGGTAGGATAAAGGCCTAAACATCAAACATTACCATGTGTTCACATAGGCATAGTGCCCCGATATCACAAAGGGTGAAAGTTAACACCTAAAATGGACACTGTGAATAGCTAATGCCTCTCCAGCAATAGCTACCATCCCCTCGAGGATTGCTCTGTTGGGGATCTGGGCCAATTTGGCGTTTTTCACATGCTTTCAAGCCTGATAGTGTTTTGTCATTCCCACATCAATCAGAGGTTTTAGGTAGATGCAGAGTGCATAAAACGGAAATAAGTATATCTTGCCTTCTAAGAAATTCAAGACAGACATCTCCAACCCAACTAAGCCTACTTCTATGGCTCCAAACTGACTTCTATTGTACCCATCTAAAACAGAAGGACATAAGAAATGAAATTTCAAACTAATCTCTGCTTCTTTCTTTTCATTCCCATCTGGCTTAGTGCAAGGAAGTAAGAAATAAAGATTCAATCCAAGAACCTATTCGTAAGCAGCAATTTGAAGAGCCAATGTTTGGCAACAGATACCACTGTACACATTTTAAAACCCATGTTTCTTGAGAACCATCTCAGCCAACTGTGATCACCTTATTTCTGGCCTCTCCTTCACAGTGACAGAATCACAGAAGAAGGCAGCCAGATGAGAACTGCTATAATCAGGAGGAAGACCAATAGCCCATCCCAAATAAAACACTCTGAGTCACGACTTCCAGAACTTCTGCCATGACCATGGGCTTTAAACCATTCCACTGCTTCCTGGAGGTCAAATGGCTGAGCCTTATAACCTAGCTCTTTCTTGGCTTTCTCTAAGCTAAAATAATGTGTGACACCAGTTTTGTAAACTTCAGTGCGAGTGAGGAAGGGCTGGAAGTTGTAGAGTCGACCCAAAATGAAGTGAACCATCTCTGTTAGAAAAGCAAAGCAGTAGACCAAAGTCAATGGCAGGCGGGTAGATGGGAACGTGTAGCCCAGGCCCTCAACCAGAGGCCGGAAGAACTCAAAGTTGTTCACGGGTCTGCCATCTGAGATGAAGTAGGGCTGCCCAGAGGCAATATGGCCCTTGTCAGCTCTCAGGGCTTCTGAGGCCAGAATGTGAGCCTGCACCAAGTTATCCACGTGGACAAACTCAACCAGGCTCCTGGGGTCCCCGTAGACAAACTTGAACAGACCCTTCTCGATGTAGCTGACTATTCTGGGAAGGTGTCTTTGTTCTCCAGGCCCATAGATGCCAGCTGGCCTCAGAGCGCAGGTTCTTAAGACGCCGTCGCCTCTGTCCAGGGGTGTACCATTCGCCTCCAGCACCTTCTTCTCTGCAATAGACTTTGTCCGAGAGTAGTGATCAGGGTGGAGGTGAAGAGGCAGGTAGGGCAGAGATTCATCCCCATTTCTGATAACTTGACCTCCAAAGATGACATTGAAAGTGCTGGTGTAAACTAACCTGGGCACCCTTCTTCTTTGGCAAGCCTGGAGGATGTTGTCTGTGCCCCCGATGTTGACTTCTTCGATCAGGTTTCGATTGAGTTGCTCCCGCCCTGACATACCATAAGAGGCAATATGGAACACACAAGTGATGTCTGCATCCTGGAAGGCTTTCTCTATGTCAGACAGGTGGCAGATGTCTCCTTGTATAAACTTGATTCCTTCTGGAATGGTTTCAGCAGGGCTGCTGATGTCAAACAGAATCACGTGGACTCCCTTTTGGTTCAGAGCACAGCCCAGGCTGAAATGAGAAACGGTAAATGTTGCATCAAGTCGCTCTTAAGCTGTGCGTAGGGGAAGTGTATAAAGTAATTTACCAATCAAGGTGGGGCTGATTCAAGTCTTCCTGGCTCATCCTGAGCCCCTCACTATGCGTGTTCCTTGGTGCAAGGTTCACTTCTTCAAATTTTCAAAAGTGAGAATCCTCTCATCTACTTAAATTACAAAGAGAGAGGCTTTATCTTCAAAGAATGGTGGCATTTTTTCCCTTTGGTTCTAGGGCCCACTATCTATTCTTTGGAATATTTGAGAATAATAACATAACTGTGAAAGAACAGCTATGATTTAAAATTGTTTTTGGTGATGTGAATAGTCATCCCTCCCAATTTCACAGCTTTATAAAGAATTTTTCTTAAAGTGAAATATACCTGTAGTTCTCAACTGCAGTATCTGAGCAGTGGGCAACACAGTTCATTTCTAGTTTGACATTATACAAACAAGTAAAAGTCTACTCTGTTGTCAGAGTTGAAAGCTTCTGGCAACTACTAGTAAAATAATTCCACATGTATATTTTATAGACACACTTACCGAAAACCAAAATAGCCACCTCCTCCTGTAATGAGGACAGTTTCCTTTTGAGATCTTTTGGGGTCCATATGTGGCAGTCAAAAGATAACTGGACCTGTAAGAAGTATGCATCACTGTTACTGATCCAAATGCAAGTATCATTCCCCTTAATTTTGAGCTAACAAAACCAAAAAGTCAATATGCTGTAGTAGAATGAAAAGTTAAGGCCTGGGTCTAGTCATAGCTGTGTCATTTAGCTACTTTCCCTTCAGTTCCTGGGCTTCAAATTTCTCCTGATGTAATATGGGGACAGTATTATCTGCTCTGCCCACCTGAAAAGGTTAATGGGGAGGTTAAATAAGATAATGTAATTGGCAGTGCTTTGAGAAACACAAAAAACGTTTCAAATGTAAGGCATTATTGTTAATTCTTGAAAATGATTAGAGCCTTTTTGAAAAGAATTGATTCAAATTTGGTAGGAAGAGGCATTTCCCCCCCACCCCCCCATGCATCAGAAAATTAGAGAGCACTCTAAAGGACTCTCCCAAAATCTTTTCTGTAAAATTGCACACTGCAGCATGGCTTAATACTGCTTTATTAGCCCTATACTTAAAAAATATATATATGGGGAAAAACTCCTTTATGTAGCAAACGATGCCCTACCTCCCCCACTGCAAATCTTGTAGGTACTTAAAGTACAAGAGCTCAGTGCCTTTGAGGGGTCCCACTTCTCTTTCCCTCTTCTTCTGTGGCCCTCCCCTCCCCGTATTTCTTTCAAGGCTCTAATGACCCTTCTCCCAAAAACAAAACAAAATAAGCAAAAACTAAGATACCCAGCTCCTTCCATGTAAGAGGGAGAGAGGCCGGGTACGGTGGCTCATGCCTGTAATCCCAGCACTTTGGGAGGCTGTGACGGGCAGATCACGAGGTCAGGAGATAGAGACCATCCTGGCTAACACGGTGAAACCCCGTGTCTACTAAAAATACAAAAAATAAGCCGGGCGTGGTGGTGGGCACCTGTAGTCCCAGCTACTCGGGAGGCTGAGGCAGGAGAATGGCGTGAACCTGGGAGGCGGAGCTGGCAGTGAGCCAAGAACACGCCACTGCACTCTAGCCTGGGCGACAGAGCGAGACTCCGTCTCAAAAAAAAAAAAAAAAAAAAAAAAAGAAAAAATAGGGAGAGAAATGGAACAGGAAGCACACAGGTCCTCAAAGGCACTGGGCGCATGCACACACACACACACCCCAACACGTGCGCTCAAGTCAACACAGACGCTCAGAGCTGTGGTTAGGCATGAAGACTGCAAGCAATCAAGAGCCCTACCATTTCTCTTTCCCAGCCAGGCACCCACAACTGCAGTCACTGCACCATGTAAGTAGACTTCAACATGGAAGAGTGTGGAGATGGGAGGGGAGCGGGAGCAGCAGAGGCTGGGGCTAGGCAGGATGAAGAGCTTGTATGGCAGAGAGGCTATGAGTGTGGAGTCAGTGTACATGCATAAAGAAAGAAAAAAATATGGGGGACAGGAATACACAGTGAAGGCGTCTTGCCTCAGCCCTTAAGTGGTTACGTGATCTTGGTCAAGACACTTCTCTAGACTTCACTTTTCTCTTCTGTCTGGCTGTGTGTTGTGCTATGTTACAGGAATGCTAAGGTTTTTAAAAAGGCAGCACGGTACAGTGGAAATAATAAAGACAAACCCATACCTAGTGCTTACTATTAGGGCCAGGCAGCATGCTAACTGCTTTACGTGTATGTTAGCCAATTAATCCTTTTAATAATCTTACCAGGACAGTACTATTAGATCCTGTTTTTCAGCTGAGAAAAATAAAGCACAGAGACAGGAAATAAACTTGCCCAAACTTACCTGGATTCACACCCGATGGCAGTGTGGCCCCAGGAGCCCGTACTCTTAACCACTAAAACACAGTCTTAAATGGAAAGAGAATGGACTTTGGTGTCCACTTACCAGTTGTGGGATTTTGGACTGTGTGTTTACCACATGTGTTAAAGACTCTGAGCCTGCTGCTTCATCTAACAGTGGAGCTGATAATGAGCCTGCATGAAGACTGCATGGGATAATGTGCAAACAATGTCCAATAAAACACCTGGTACCGTATGGGCACTCCACAGATGTCATTTCTTGAGTAGACTTTTCTTCACACTCCAGAGTTTAGAGATTCAACTAGCGTATCACATTTCCACATACCATGATTAGATCTCTCAAAAAGCACAGGGTTACAAAGAGTTTTGTAAGTTCTTCTGGACACCTGTGTGAGTGCATGAGACTGCCAATGAAACGAATCAGAGCACTCATGCAGAATCGGTCAGTGTGACAAGTGAAGACGAGGTTCAGCAAGTGTCTGTCTCAGTGGCTTGACGGTATGGAGAAGAGTGAGAAATACTAGGGAAACTGAGCAAAATGGGGCAGAGGATGACTGATGAGTTCCCAAGGTTCCATTATGCAACTGCCACGGTTGTGCTTTCAAGAAAATTCATGAAGAATGAACGTGCCAGCACTCCCTCAATGTATCTAACAGTGACCTTATGATTCTATTGTTTTCTGAGTGCAGAACACTCCCATTTGGATTGAAAGTGGTCATAAAACCAAATGCAGTCAATTCTATTCTTTAGTGTACTCACAACCCTTCATGACAAACAGTTTCACAACATGGTAGACATCAGTTACTGATATTTCAGTACAGACTTCCCATGTTCACCTCCATGACCTGGTCACAGTCTCCCACTCTTCTGCCACTGGCATTCTATGCTCCAACTGCACAGACTTTCTTTCCTTTCCTTGAAGACGCTGACCTCATTAGTGCCTCCTGTTCTCACTTCAGTGTGACACGTCGTGCACTAGGTCCTTTTCTAGCAGCATCTTTCTCAATATTTAGGTCTGCTCACAAGTCCTCAGAGAGGCTTCTCTGATCACCCTATCTAACAGAGCTGCTTGTACCCTAAACGTTGCTTTGTTTTCTTCATGGAACATTTTACTGTCTATCTAAAACTATTTACTTTTTATTATTGATCTCCTTCCCAGAGAATGTAAAGTTCTATGAGAACTGAGGCCCTCTGTCTTCTGGGGTGTCCCTACTAGAATCCAGAACATAGTAGATGCTCAATAAATATTCTGTTGAATCTATGGATTATTCTGAACACCCTAAAATATATCCAATTTAGTAAAATTGTGATGGGCACAAATTACTTTACCCAGGGCTCTGCAGTGTTTAAGAGTCACTGTTCTGCATGACATTAATGCTGCCATTTTAACAATAACATATCTCCTAAAAAGTGATGGTTATGGAATGAAAGATACAAACCCAAATGAGACAGAGGTCCTGCTTTCCAGAGCTTACAAATGAGAAAGAGGCTTCCACAGATATCAAAAGGAAAAGGCAAAAAAAAGATGAAAATAAAGTTACTCTTTTAATGTTGGTATAAACAAAGTGCAGTGGGAACACCAAGGTGAGGGGTAGGGAGACTGATTCTGACAGGGCAGATCAGGAAGAGTTCATGGGAGAGTGAGCTTTAGTGCTACAGGGCCCATGGGAGGATCTAGGTAGGCTGAGAGGAGGGTTATCACTGGTGAGGGTGAACCACGAATCAATGGATCAGAGGCAGAGAAGGCTGTGCTGGGCAGCTAACATGGGGAGTCCGCCATGGCTGGTATGCAAAGAGAAGCACAGAGCTGGTGCTTGGGGGTGAAAAGACAGCCTGGGGTGAACCTGGAGAAAGGCTTCTGTCCCCTTCCATAAAGTTTGAATCCCATTTTTTTTTTTCGAGACAAGGTCTCACTCTGTTGCCCAGGCTAGAGTGTAGAGGTGTGACCACGGCTCACTGCAACCTTGATTTCCCGACCTCGAGAGATCCTCCTACCTCAGCATCCTGAGTAGCTGGGACTACAGGCGTGCACCATGATGCCTGGCTAGTTGAATTCCATTCTGCAGACAACAGAAGCCTTTTTAGGTTTACAGAAAGGAACTGTTGGGGCCACCTCAGTACTTGTGAAAGAGGAGGCTTCCCCTGGAGGAGGAAATGGGCCAGGGTCCAGGGAAGGGAGATGTGGCTCTAGGCTAGAGGGTTACCAGTGAGGACAAAAGGCCAGTGTGCTCAGGTGAAATCAGGGTGAGGGCTAGCGAACAACTGCAGGAGGTGGCAGCATGTTGCACCCAGATGATGTTCTGAGGAAGGCGATGTCATTAACTGAAACAGTAGGCTTTGGAAATGTTCTTGTCTGGCTGAAAGTTTTGACAAACAGGATGCCAGATAACGATTTAAGATCTTCTTAATATCTCTGTAAGAATTCCACCATAAGGAATTCTGAAAATGGACAAGGACTTCAAAAGTCCAATTAAAAAATTCCAACGGAAATACCTATCTTTAATTAGTCTTTAGTTTTAAAATTACACATTCCAGTCCAGTCACAAGACCACAGGTCAATCATGGTTCATGTGCACATTAATCAAGTAAGGAACATATAACTTCGGATTATTAATGCTTCAGAAACTTGCCAGGCCTAGTGATGCTACTCCATTACCTTCCAACTAGTTTCAGAATGATCTGAGGCAAAAACTTGTATAACTGATCTGATCGGGGGGTCAGAAGAGAAAGGTAAGGAAAAATAAATAACTTAACAAAATAAACAGCAAGGAAAAAGCTTATCCACCAGGCCAGTAAAGCCTTCACAGGATGGTAGCCATCTGCTGCACTGCTGGGGGCCGCCTCCTCCCTTCCTGATCCTCAACATTGATAAGCACGGAAAAATCTTAGCAAATGCATTTTGCAGACCTGCCCCCACCCAAAATTCTCATGAATGCTAAGCCAGAAGGGAGAAGAGAATATACAGTTGTTCTTCAGCCAGCTGCCTGATTTTCATCTACTCTGTGGCTCCTGTTTTATTAATTAGTTTCTGTCTGATTCCTTCTAGGGCTGGGCACTCAGACCTGCCTTTATAATGGCAAGTGCTTGAAGGTTCTTCCAAACTGTGGCTTTGTTCAGTAATTGCTCTCCCCTGGTGGGGAGGGCTACATCTGACCTGAGCAGTCATTTTGGTGGATACAGGTTAAAGTTAAGCACATGATCAAGGGGGAAAAAAAAAAAAAAAAAAAAAA